GAGACAGCTGCAGACCACCTAGCTAATCAATGCCTCTTGTTGCATCATTCTTTAAACTTTAGTCAATGCATCCAGAAAACGCCTTTGGCAGTAATGCAATCAGATTTCTTAGCAAGGCTCCTCCGTTTTCTCAAGGGTTTTCCAAACCCATTCCATGCTGATCTTTTTGAGAACTTTTTTCCTCTATGTTTGCCCTCCTGGCAATTATAGGGAGAAGAGTTGACATCTCCTCTTGAGCATGCCTCAGCAGTCATTTGTGCTCTGCTGCTGCTAGAGCAACTAGCCTGTCAACAAACTCACCTCCGTAGGGCACTGCTACAACCACACTTGTGCCCAGGCCTGATGGTGCTGGGATTTTCCCAGCTGTTTGGAAGCCAGCCTTTCAGATTTTTCTATGAGTAAGTGTGGATCTCCTTAAACATTTTTTTTTCCCAAAATGGAAATGCTGCGCAGCTGTAGCCATTGCCAGGGGTCCCTTTCAACTGGTACAACCATTGATCCTTGAAGAACGCACACTTAAGATGTAACCAGCTTCCATGCTTTTAAGACAGTCCTGCATTGTTCACACATCAAACCCACACCCAAAGCAAAAGCACAAACATCTGTGACCAGTAGTCAAAGGGGGTTGGAAAACAATCAGCAAGCTAAGACAGAGTCACAGGAGCCTTTCAAGCCTGAAAAGAAAATTCAAATTGTATCCTGCTGGTGACTGAAATCATTACATCTTTTCATCCAAGTTCTGCCATGATTTTGCAAGATTAGCAAATGGGCAAGTGAGCTTCCAGTCACCAGAGTCAGCCAGCCACTACACAGCTTCTGTTTCTCTCTGTTAATAAAAATCCTCCTTCTGCGCCGATTCCACGTTCATAACAAATTATTCTTTGTGGAACACACTAAATTTCCCTGGGTTATCACAAACCATTTGTAAATGAATCAGTTCTTTAATAGCATTAGTGTGCATCAAGCTGTCACATAGAATATCAGACCAAGGGAGGGGTGCCTTGCAACAACCTCTCCATTAGCATTTCTGGAAGGAAGCTCTGCCTGACATGAAAGTCATTATCCTCAATGGCTGTACTTCTATACTGATGTAAATTATTCTTTTCCATATCATCCTGCCTTTCTTGGAAACCAAAGCAATGTAGCTGCTATTGTGCCAGCATCTGAAGGCAATGCAATGTGTTCATCGCAAATCACTTGCCTTCCAGCCACTGTTTTTATAAGAGAATATTCTCAAACTTGTATGCATTTTATATTGCCTTTTATTCCCTGTTACACATAATGATCATAATCACACTTGATTCATCATAAAAACAGTGCAATGATGAGTTAAGGGCTAATTTTCAGAGCCAATGTTTCCTGTTTGTTGGCGGGGGTGTATGTTCGCTGTCACCATCTTCTCTTGAAAGACAATCCAGGATAAACTGTTCTCTAGTTAAGAGATTTTTTGAACATCTGAGCTATCAGTTTAAGTTTAGTAAGTGTTCGCTCACGCATTTCACAGATCCTGATGCACAGAGTAGCCAATTTTTCATTATTAGCCGTCCAAACCCAAATAAAACCTAAAAGTCTGTTTCTTGTTCCAGCTTCTTCTACTTTCAAAACAAATGAGAAAATCTTACTGCTCATTTCTTCACTTACCTGATCTGCTTCCTTTAAGCCCTGCATTATTACCACTTTTTCTCGGTTTGTCTATCTGTGTCACTTCTAATCATGCAAAAAAGAGAAGACTTGAATCCCCTTTTGGGGATCATTGGATGCACTCCTATAATTGCAAGGCTTATCATGACCACATCTTCCCTGGTAATGCTCTCTCTAGTGACTTACTGAGGAACTTGAATGACGGCTGGTTGTTTTACAGCTTCATAGCTATGAATGCTATGGATGTGTTATCATTGATCTTGATCTAGAAGCACAACTCCAAATGAGCATTTATAATTTAGCCTAGTACCCATTTTTCTTAGAAGCCTTTCATGGTGTCTGAATAAGATCTTACAGATCCTTGACAAAATCAGTGGGCTTTCTCTCCTTTTCTTCCTCTCCTGGCTAGTAGCTACATTCTATCTAACTCAGTACAGTAATTTTCAAATGGCTTCTTTGTACCAGCTGTAAGTACCTGTGCTTTTTAACCCCATGGAAGAAAGTACTGCTTAGTAAGTACCATACTATTAAAGCTGATCACTGGAAACATTTTGTGCCTTTCCAGCCTTTTCTCAACAGAGTTAGGACTCTAGCATTATTTTTCCACTGTGAGGAGTTCTGTGCTGATGTTTTGCATTAAAAGTCACTGATCATACAAGCTTAACATTTCTTTTATGCAATCTCATTTACTTACAATAAAAGGCACACACTCTTATCTCTGAACTCAGAAAGGTCAGTCCCCTCCCTGCTCTGGGCTTTTTTGTATACCCTGTATGGCAAGAAATCTTCTGTGTTGCTTCAGAAGCTGCAGCACGAGCATTTCTCTCATCATCTTCTGAAGATGATGCACTGAAGCATCTCCCCCAAAAAAACTTCCCGCAGCAGAACCAGTCCACCCAGATAACTCAGCTTCAGACAGGCTCCAGCAGCCTTGTTTCAGATGTCTGTCTTAAGAAAAAGAAGCATAGTTGCTTTTGCCATTTCTCCTGAATAGGGAAGCTGCCATGATCACTGCTTACAATGAAGATTTCCTCAACCTGTAAATAATACAATTAATCATTCTTCTCCCAGATTAGCCATGCTGGTTTTCTCCTTGGAAACTGAGTATCAGATGGTGTTAACTTTAAGACAACTGGATACCACGTATATCATATGATCTCAAAACAAAAGGAATGATTAGCATGGTAACTTCCTGAGCTACCTGGTAGAATAGCAGAGCAAACAATATAAGGACAAAAGCCTCCTTGGTCACGGCGGTCGTGGGAATGCATCCTATTTCCAGAGCTGGTGACATTAACCTTCAGCTGTAATGCTCTTCCAGGAGCACTTCAGTAGCTAACAGAACTATTGTAAGACTTGAGAATTAGGCAGTCCACTAAACTGTGTACTTCATGTCAAATCCTTCACATTTCAAGAAAGGTACCATTCATCCCACATAACCCTAGAATAAATTCTGTACATATATGATAGCAGAGGCAGATTTCTCAAAAATCATCTTGCTAGACATACTATAATCTGCAACTCGCTGCCTGGACACAAAATGAACCTTTGGAAAACTGACCAAACATCTGATTTTCGTATCTGAACAGGAGGTTGCTGCTATTCCCTACCCTCAGCTCTCTATGCCAGCTAAAGTATAAAGACTCTCCTGTTAAAAAAAAAGGAGCATAAGCAGTCTTTTCTTATACCACATTCTCTGAAGATTAGCACCTTCAACCTAGCAACATTGGGACAGCAGGTACAGAAAAAAAGCAGATTAGAGTGAGCCTTTTAATTCAGAGACTCACGTTCAGGAAAAACATTCTTCATTTCTTTGCTTACAAAGCTCACAGAAACCATTTGATCTCAGATAACCAGGACCTAGAGACCAGCTACCCAAGTAGCTTGTGACAACCCACATCCAGAAGTGGATGATGTAAGGCTGTTCTACCTACATGGAGACAACTATTCCTGTGAGAACTGGTCTGCATTAGACGGTAATTTTTAGTCGAAGTTTCACACACTATTGCTAGAATGAAGGAGAATTTACATTAGTATTCTACACAAAGCGAAGTATGGGCACTTATAGTCTCTCAACTCAAAAAAATGCAGATACACACAATTCCTGAACTGTCATGCTACACTGGCTGTCCACCTAGATGAAGCTCTGTTTCAACAAGCAGTCGTATTTGACTGCTGCAAAGGGGTCTTCATCCCAGCTGGAACTCAGCAGGGCTGTCATTAAGGGTGTGGGAGGCTTCCCCTTGCATCCTGGCAGCCAGCTCAGCTCCGCTGCCTGCTAGCTGAGTCCCTGCTCCAGCTCAGCCATGGCAACCTGAGATTCTGAGAAACTACACAGATCTGGCACTTCATAAGCTTTGCCTGCGACACTGTCCCTCATCTTGGAGCTTGCTACGACAGTGTCAGATATTTGAGTTTGTGCTAGGAGAGCTGGGGCACAGGGAACCCTCAGCTGTGTACAAGTACCATTTTTCAAATCTTTTCCAGACTAGCAGCACAAGAAGGGGTGGAATATATCCCAGATTTGGCCTGGCAGGCTGTGAAACTGGCAAAGAGCAGCTGGGGAATCTGCAGGTAGAGAAGGATCCAGAGAAGGCATTATCACACTGCCAAGGCTAGAATTGTGTAACTTGTTGCTAAATTCAAGTACTCACTAAAAATGAATAAATTTTTCTGTATAGCGAGGTTCAAAGGAATCGTTTCAAAAATCACTTTAAAAATATTAACATCATATTAGCACATATGCATGCGGAACTTGTTCTGTCAAACTAAAGCTAGTCCAAGACAGAAGGAAAATAAAAATTATGAATGATTACATTGTTTAATTACATAAAATTTCATTAGTAGGCCTAATCTCACTGCAGATTTCCTGACACAGAAGCTTTATTTGAAAATCAACCTAGACCAACCCTCCCTCCAACCCAGTTTTGCTGATACTTTTTCATATACAGACCCCAAAATCCATGCATACCACGAATGCAGCATACACTGACTAGCACTGATGACCAACTGTTTGAACTGAAATAATACAATTTGGCAGTGAAGACTCCATCACAGCTTTGTCATATTTTTTCCACATAAATATCTAGAATCTATAATCAATTTTAGGAAAAATACATTAAATTCTTCATTCTTCCTGCATCAGTAGTCTCATGATTCACTGATGCAGATCACATAACATCAAAAATTAAACTCCATTACTAGGTCCATGTTTCTTCAGTTTGCAGTAGTATATTTATTACAAACAAAACCCTGAGGAATCTGTTGTGTCATAAGAAATACATCACTGAAATGCATATGGGTACAGAATTCATCCCTCCTATTCACCAAGCATGCAATGCAATATTTATACTGCAGATGTTTTCAAATGTAGTTTTATTCCAGTGACCTATTTGCAGTCTTTACATACATTTCAAAACAACATTATGCAAACATATCACAGGACAGTACTTAAAGAATCTTTAGTATATACTCCTTTATAAAAGGTTTTGACACCATGAAAAAGTCAGTCCAGATAAGCTCATGTTACTAGGTCTCTTGATAAACAAAATACCATGAAGCCCTGTAACCTGCATGAGCACAAGTATCCATTAAAATGAATCCCTCTTCTAAACCCCTCTTTTAAATAAACAGGTTTAAATTTTGTTCAGTAGATGAGTTTCTATCACGACACTGTCCACTTAATTTTGTGCTTTCCAAAAGGCAAGCATACTACAGAAATAAAATTCCCTACCCAAGAGGAGAGAGAAATTCAGTAAACATGTATTTGTTTCCCATTCCAGCAGAGGAATCCAAGTTCATTGAAATCCTCATTATGGCTAAATCCAGCATGCCCTGCTTTATAACTTCTTCTTCTTTGTCTGCTCCCCAGAGTCTAGTTTACGTTTCTTAGCAGAAGCTGGTTCATCATCTTTTTCACCATCTTTAAACAAAAGACAGAGTTAGTCAAAGTCAGCAAAGCCAGTATCTGTCTTAAACACCATCCTCATCTCAGAACAACTGACTTAGCCGCATCTGAGATGCCTGGTAAAAAGACAGTAGTATTAACCAACAACATCAACATTTTTGAAATGTGGACAATATGGGGACAGAATAGGAATGACCATGGAGGATGACTAAGAAGAGGCCTTGTTATGATACTGTACAGTACCTGTTCTGAAAAAATATGTTATTTGGATAAGACAAAAATCTAGAAGATGACATTTTAGAAGCCGGAAGTAATGTCAAGGTCAATTAAACAGTTTATTTTTTTAGTCTTTGGATGAAGAGTGACTAATAGAAACGAAGGGGGGGCGAGGGGGGGGGAAGCATACAGAACAAATGGAGTAAGATGGAGAGAAAAACTGTCACAGCGGAAGGAACACTCAGAATAGAAAAAGGAGCAAGACAGCAAAAAAACCCCTTCCTTTTGGAAAGGTTCGCTGACAACTTTACTGGTGAACCAAAACATTATTGTGTGTCCTGAAAGCCCAGAATTTCTTCTGCTTTTTTTTCCTCTTGGTTGTTACTGGCTGTTCTCTTTCTCCAGCAATTAAAAAAAAAAAATTCTCAACTGTCAAATATTTCTTTACTTCCTAGATTACTATTACAGCTTGTACCATGATTAAAAGTGAAGAGAATAGTAAATAATTTGTTCAGTAATCTGTCACATGGACATTTAATTTAATTCCTTTCTTGGTCCCCAGGTTTTGCACACATGATAAAAATAATCTGACTTACATCTACACCTAGGGTCGAGACAGCAGTGCTTAAAGAACCTCTCGTACCACGTTCTGTTTTAACGGCACCATGACCAAAGCTGTTACTTCATACAACTGCAGTTCTACAGACTCTAATCGTTCCCTGCTTCCGCTAACGCCAGTGGAAGGGGAGCAGAGCGGTTGCTGGAGACTCCCGCTTGATTCAGGGAACCACGGGCTGAGGCCGCGGGGCCCTGCAGCTGCTCGCGGGGGGCAGCAGAGGCCGGCGGAGCTTCCCCCGGGCGGGGGGCGGGCAGGGCTGCACGCACGGACCCACCACCCACCCGCTTCGCCTCCCTGCGCTCACGAATTTGAAACACACACACACACACACACACGCCGGTGCTCCTCACCCGATTCCAGCGGCTCCTGCTCCTCATCCGGCAGAAACTTGGCTTTGCCGGCCTGCCGGGGCGCGTCCTCGCCGTTGTCCTCGTAGATGTTGGACCACTTTATGGCCATGTCGAGGGCAGGGGGCGGCGGGGGCTTCTTCTCGGGCGGGCTGTAGGTCTCCGGCGGGGGCACGGCGTTGCTCTTCCACACCTTGAACTCCTTAGGGGGCTGCAGGAAACGGCGGGGCACCCGTCACGCCAGGCCTCGGCGCCCGG